ACCACATCGTCCTCAACTTCGTCCCCACAGTCATCATGGACCCCTCCAAGGTGCGTTTCTTGGTGTCTTGCTTCCTGCTGTTGGTGTGTTGCTGATCTGGGGATGGAGATTACATCATCTCCGTGGTTGGTACCGTTGCATGAACGTGCAGTCACCCCCTACACCGGCTGTCAGACCTAGTCCCACCTAATCCTGGATGGGAGGTGGATTTGGCAGCCCCAGAGACTCCTGCAGCTTCATTTCTGTATTAGACCTTCACTGAGGGCTGTTTGCTGGGGAGGTGCTGAGATACCGTGCTCTGCAAAGACCAGGGATTTTTGTACAGACTTGGACAAGCAGGTGGTGTGCTGGAGGGCACGAGGGAGAGCAGCAGGCTGGAGGAGTGGGCCTTTGTCCATTCAGTAGGACACGGGGCACCATCTCTCCCTCTCCACAGTGGAGAAGCTGGTTGGCAGCATCAGCTTACAGGGACGGAGGGAAGGGGCTTTCCCAAAGCAAATCCAAAATGACTGTTTGAGGTGGGGATGCAGTGGGGCTGCTCCAGCCTTGGCACTGCACACTCAAGGACAGTGTTGTCCCTGGGGTCGGGGACCCACGTGTGTGCCATGCCCAGATCGAGGAGTCGGTGCGCTCCATGGTGATGCGCTATGGCAGGCGCCCCTTGGAACTCCGGGCAGCCGCCTCTGGAAGCTGCGGGTGCTGCAGGCCGAGGTGAAGATCAACATCCGCCTGACGCCCACTGCCAAGGCCATCCCCATCCGCCTCTTCCTGACCAACGAGTCCGGCTACTACCTGGACATCAGCCTCTACAAGGAAGTGAAGGACCCCACCACTGGCAGCGTGAGTAACTGGAGGTGGTGGGAGCCCAACTACAACTGCTTGAGCAGCTATTGGCACAGCGAAGCTTTTCGGTGGTTGCTGCAAGACTCCTCATGCATGTACAATGCTGGTGTGCCCCAGAGCCCCTGGGACCGTCCATCAGCATTCCCAGGGCTGTCCCAGTCTCACTTCCCTCTGTGCTGCATCCAGTTAGGCACCTCAGGGTGATGCTTTGCTCCAACATGGTGCTAAGCTCCGTCCATTCGGGCTCCCTGGGGTATTGCTGGTGTGTAATTGGGTGGGTTTTGGTCTGGGAGGTCATTGTTAGCGTGTTGCTGGTGCTTGCAGCGCACTCTGTCCCCTGAATAGCAAAGAGGGGGGTTGAAAATCATGTTGTTTGGTCAAGTAGAGCCATGGGTACAAGTGTCCTGCCCAGGCAAAGCTCCGCAGTGCTCCAGCCCTGCCAGGCTCCGGCGCCTCGGTGTTGCAGAGGGGACTCGCCTGCGTGCCGAGGGCAGGCAGCCAACGCTCTGCCCTTGTCTCCAGATCATGTTTCAGTCGTACGGGGACAAGCAAGGGCAGCAGCACGGGATGCCCATCAACACTGCCTACGTCACCAAGGACCTGCTCCAGGCCAAGCGGTTCCAGGCACAGTCCATGGGCACCACCTATGTGTATGACTTCCCGGAGATGATCAGGCAGGTCAGTGTGGCTGAGCAGAGGGGCTCCAAAGCACTGCATTTGCTTTTGTTTCCCACCCTCCCCACATATTTCTGTCTGTGGGAAAGACTCCTCTCCCCCGAGCTGGCAAATGACAGGAAGAAGAGCCCAAGCTCCAGCGGTTTTGGTTATATAAAGCGTTTCTAAACCAATTCCTCGCTCTTGCAAGTTGCCACAGTTGCACTCATGGAGGATGTGAACCAGAAGGCCCCACACAAGGAGGTCTGCAGCAGGTTTGGGGCTCTAACACAGGATTTTGCTCACCCCAAGTCCCAGCCTGCTGCAGGACGCGTGTGTCTGTGCTTGGTGATAGCCTTGGAGCTGCCGCAGCCCCCTGCTTTGAGCTCATCCTGTCTGCTATGTCTCTGCAGGCTCTCTTCAAGCTGTGGGGCTCCTCAGAGCGGTACCCCAAGGACATCCTGACCTACACTGAGCTGGTGCTGGACTCGCAGGGGCAGCTTGTGCAGATGAACAGGGTCCCTGGAGGGAATCAGGTAGTGGGGGATGATTTCGGGGGTGTGTGGGGGGAAGCTGTGCTGCAGCAGGTGGGAATGGCGGGTGGCTTCCCCAGCCGGGCCATGTTTAAAGCCTGGGGGATGCTCCTCAAGCATTTTGTGTGTTGGTGAATACAGTCTGCAGCTCAGATCCCTTTCCCTGGAGGAGCCTGCCCTGTGACCTTGTGCTGTTTTGGGACAGGTTGGGATGGTTGCTTTCAAAATGAAGCTGAAGACCCCCGAGTATCCGAAGGGCCGGGACATCGTGCTCATCTGCAACGACATCACACACCGGATCGGCTCCTTCGGGCCGGAGGAGGACCTGGTCTTCCTGCGGGCCTCGGAGCTGGCGCGGGCCGAGGGCATCCCCCGCGTCTACATCGCTGCCAACAGCGGCGCCCGCATCGGCTTCGCCGATGAGATAAAGCACATGTTCCAGGTGGCCTGGGTGGACCCTGAGAACCCCTACAAGGTGTGTGGGCACCTCCCCTCCTGCCAGCACAGGAAACAACACAGGACTTTTCTGGTTGTTCCCTGCCCACATCGAAACTGGGATAGAAAACTGTGGGATCGGTGAGTGTGTGCGGGGAGGGCTTCACAACTCACCCTCCTCTTTGTTTTCAGGGGTTCAAGTACCTGTACCTGACCCCCCAGGACTACACAAGGATCAGTGCCATGAACTCAGTGCGCAGTGAGCATGTGGAGGAGGGGGGCGAGTCCAGGTGAGCCCCCTATCCCATGGGGCACACAGAGACACCCCAACCCTCCCTGCATCCCTGCCAGGATGCAGCTCCCATGTCCTGGCTCAGCATCCTGCCAGGCACATCATGCAAATGAGTGCTTCCTTGCTTCCCTCTGTCCTGCCTCTGTTTCCCCCCAGGTATGTCCTCCTGGACATCATTGGGAAGGAAAATGGATTTGGGGTGGAAAACCTGAGAGCTGCTGGTACCATCGCTGGGGAGTCCTCTCGTGCTTATGATGAAATAGTGACTATCAGCATGGTACAGCCACAGGCCCTTCCCCTGCTCTGCTCCTCCCCTGCCTCCTACTTGCTTTTACTTTACCAGCCCCTACTTACTCTGGAGGGAATAACAGGATGCAACAGGCAATCTGGTGCAACCTGGCTGTGCAGAGCCCTGCAGAGCATCATTCTCCCAGTGCTCATGGGCTGTGCTGCAGCCCTTTCTTCCCAGTAACTTCACGTGTCCTTTTGTGTGTATCCAGGTGTCCTGTCGTGCCATTGGGATCGGTGCATACCTGGTGAGACTGGGCCAGCGTGTTATCCAGGTGGAGAACTCCCACATCATCCTCACTGGTGTCACTGCTCTCAATAAGGTACCATGCTCTGGCTGCGTGTCCTCCCCCGGCACTGGCCCTCATACCACTACATGCATGGGCTCCTTCCCCTTCCCATGGGAAGAGGTGGCAGTTCCCTGCATGTCACCTCACAGGACCTGTCATGGGAACAGTTTGGCTCCAGTCCCAGGGGCAGGACCGGTCTCTGGGCAGAATCACACTGGTTTGAGCTGAGTTGAAACCCACTTGGCTAAACCGATGCACTTGTCTGGAGCAGGGTCCCTTTGCTTTAACGTCAGCGTGGTAGCCAGAGGTGGAAATTCGGCCTCAAACCACAGGGAACATACTTGTGCAGATGTCTGGCTTCACAAGCAGAGCAAGGAGGAGCAGCTCCCGTGTGAGCAGAGACTGATCTCTGTGTGTTACCACTTCTGACTAGGTGCTGGGCCGTGAAGTTTACACATCCAATAACCAGCTGGGGGGGGTGCAGATCATGCACAACAACGGCGTTTCCCATGTCACTGTCCCAGATGACTTTGAGGGGGTCTACACCATCCTGCAGTGGCTCGCATACATGCCCAAGGTAGGAGGATGCTGCAGGATGATGCTGTGGGGTGTTACCCTATAGCTGGCTGGTGACTGGCCCTTTGGGGCTCTCCCTTGCAGGACAACCGGAGCCCAGTGCCCATCATTGCCATAAGTGACCCTGTTGAAAGAGAAATTGATTTTATCCCTTCCAAAGTCCCCTATGACCCCAGGTGGATGCTGGCAGGGAGACCCCATCCAAGTAAGTGAGAGCAACCTGAGGCCTCTGCAGCAGTACTCCTAAACATACATTGTAGGTGCAAATCCCAGGTCCTGGTTCAGAAGGTGCTTTTTGGGATGAGTAGATGCACAGGAAGCTCTTCAGTGCTCTCTGTTGTGCCACTTCACTTCTTCCTGTGCTCTGCAGCAATCAAGGGGACCTGGCAGAGCGGCTTTTTCGACCCGGGCA